TGTAGTTTTTCTTCCTTGAAGAATTTTTTATCCATTATATCCAACAAATCAGAGAATTTTTCCTATTATTACTTTAATAACCCTGAATTAACTATATTCTGTGTGATAAGTAATATTCTGCTGTAAGTTTGAGAGCATTTAGAACTCCGGGTTTTAGTATTTATTCCTAAAATTCCAAGTCTAATTGCTAACCAGTGCCCAAATGGGGGAAGTCTGCTGAACACTGGTAGTTCCACCAGAGTTCAAATCCTAAAGAATGAGCGATGGGAGTTTTCGTATTTTTACTCGTATGAAAAATGAGTACGATTCAGTTTTCACGAAAGCATTCCTTCCCTCAAGTAGGCAGACATAACTGCTTCATTGTAATAGCAATAATTCAATTCAAGGAGGGGAATGCTTTTGAGGAAAATTTCCTACGGTAAACTTTCTTGTATTTATGTTACTTACGAAAAATATCATGCGCCAGTGAGTGTATTTACGAAATTTAAACCTGAGTGTAACTACAGATTTGGTCTTATCACTCGGTCAGTGATGGACTCCTATAAATTTATAAACGTTAATATAATTAATAGTAGTTTCTAATTTCGAATATCACGTACTTTGTAGTACAGAATTTTTCTTTCAACAAAAATTTATGGATTATCACTTAAAAAAAACATCAAAAAATATGTATTGATTTCAGTTAACATGTAAAAACACAGTAAAGTATCAAAGTAAAGTTTGTAAACACAATCATGTGTGGGAAACTGATAGAAGAAGAACGGAAAAAACTTGCATTTTCTATGCACCTTCAAAAATAAGTTTCTGTTGCACAAAACATAAGACCTTTCATTTATCTTCCACGCGCAGCAGAACCAATTATTAAAAGGTAAATATTGTTAAATTTAGTATAATTAAATGCAAATTTTTAATTATTTTAAATTAGAATTGAAATAGTCAATTAAATCGAAAATAAAATAAATAACTCATAATAAATTTAACATAAATTAAGTATCTCGCAATAAGCAAATACGAGGCATTCAAAATACGACAACCAGTCTTTTATTTCTCATAACAGCATAAAAAATTTGAAGTAAAATGTACATGCATTACTAATTTCATAAACGATTTGCGAATTGAAAAAGATGAAGGGATACATTTCATTTCAATATCAGTAAAAAACTTAATGGCGACAAAGGTCTGAGCGCAACAAATGAACTATTAATAACCGATAGCATAATTTTAATTTAAAAATTTTAGTTTAGTTTAGTTTTATGAATGGACCAAAAATGAATTTTTCATGGAAAACTTGTTTGCTTTTTCAATCAGAATAGAGGCGAAAGATTTCTTGATCGGCCATCTTAGCAATGTGATCCTCAATAGCGATGTTTCTTTATGTTCTTTCATTGATTTTAGAGATAGTCTTGATGAGAAGGCTCACTCTTTTTTAAGAAGTATTCAGTATGAAGCAATATGTTTATCCCAGTAATAAAATAGAGTCTTAATACATAATAAGCTTTTGAACATTTTTCCCGCACTGAATATTCCGGCAAAAAATGTGCTTAAAATGGCAAGTTTCAAAACGCTTTCTTTACCAGAAATATATTCTTGTTTCATTACGTGCTTTTTTAAATAAATAATCGACAGTGAACATCGGAAAAGGGTCAGGCTGATTTTTCTTCTATAAAAAGCATATGTTAATGTTTTATGCTAATTCATAAAAGAATATGTTTGTTGATTAAATGAAATTCACAGTACTTCTTAATAAACAAATAAGTAAACTATATTTTTTTCTTAACTTATTTTCGTCTTTTTAGTCCAAAGGCTCAATTTGCCCTGTAGGACTATTAATTTCGTTTCGGCATTTTGCTTCAAAAACTTTAAAAGACTGTATCACTTTTCAAAGCGTTGCCATATTTTATCTCCCCGTCTTATATTTAAAGAAATTAAATAATGAACAATTTGCATAAATGTATGTATGTTTCTCGAATTGTGATAAAACAACGGCACCTAGAGCCATGCAAATTTGAATAACGTAATCTTTCATAGAATATGGGCTGAAAGCCCTAATTTGAATTTGAAATTTGTTTCATTATCGATTTCATATTTTCTAACACTTTAAGGAATTTTTGATTAAAAAACTCAACGAGATTTCGAAGAGAGCAATGGAAACACTGTACGAGGAAAAAAAAAAAAAAAAAAAAAAAAAAAAAAGATCGCCAGCGCACGAGACTTTTTCGGAAATTCTAAAGATATGCTCATTTTAAAATTAATTTGCGATATTGCTTTCGAACTGAATTTTATAGTTTGAGTACGTAGAACATGATATTTAATAAATAAAGGTAACACACAAAACGTTAAAAAAACGCCCTTTGGACCTAATTTAAAATCTGAAACCTTTCAGATTTTTTTTTTTTTTTTTTTTTTTTTTTCCCCTAATGAACCATTAATATAAAAGGTACTTTTTCTCTTCCATGTAAGGAATGGGAAGCACGCTCGACGCGTATTCGGGAAGTCCGGAGTTCGAAAACCCGCGGATGGCATTGCACATTTTTCACATTCCTACATGGTTATAAGCTAAAGACTTTACAAATAATTAAAACTTTTTATTTTCAATAAATACTGATATCGTAAGTTTAAGGTCAACTCTCTTCATAACCCACATTTTAATCATAGTTATTAATAATTATAATAATTATTTACAATTCTTAGTGATAATACACTGCTACAGTTAAAAACCGGAAACACGAAAGTATTTTGAAAAGAATTGACAACCAGTAAGGTCCTTATTTTTGTTAGATTAGTAAACACGCATTTCTCATCCGGTTAAGAAAATAAATAATTTAAAAAACTGTTTTATCTTGCACTTCTCAATAACATTTTATAACCAATGATAATATCTTATATCTATTATAAAATTTGTAGATATGTACTACTCATAGAATCTAAAATAAAATTAAAATGTAATTTAGAGATTAAAATTTTTTTCTTTTAATTTTGACCTAACGGTACCTTTTTAATATTCCGTTAGAAGAATAAACCTTATATTTTAACTGAAAACTATTATTAGCAAATTACCTACAGTTTAAAACAAGGAATAATTTCATTTGATTGCACAAATTATATTAATACTCAATGAAAAAAAAAAAAAAAAAAAAAAACTACAAATATCAGAAAAATAAGCATTATTAGAAATGAAGATTTAATAAGTAATATAAATGCTATTAAAAAAAGAGCAGTATTTACGACAGATCTTCAACAAAATCTTTGAGTCAAAACTCGTTAAAAAGTCAGGATACTTTTCTTTTCTTTTCTTTTCTTTTTTTTAAATAGACAATGTTTATACATTTGGGTGTTCAACAAGTGGCAAAATGGTTACGACAGTTGAATGTTGATAGGTGAACGGGCTGAATGCGTAGTTGGTTTTCTCCACGTGTAACGTAAATACGAGCTAGTTCCTTTAGAATTTTCTCCGCGTAGGCATCTCTCCTCCTCACGCGCAAACAGCCATCGTGAGCTTTTCCATCTTCCAATAGTCATAATAATATATATTTCAGATTACATAGGACTATTTTGCATAATACGGATACACTATTTTGGATATACTATTTTGGATAATAAGTACTATATCATCAGTTATCACTCTATTGTCCCACGCACGTTTTTTCTTTTTCACTCTTTTGTAGCGTTTTTTTTTCCAACATTTAACAAAAAAAAGTTTTTTAACAAAAATTTTCCATCGTTCCGTAATAAATAAACTTAACATCTTAACGGGTTCCTTCTTAAAGGGCTCCGTTTAATTGGAAGTAGACTATAGACACTAACTTAGTAAATTTATGTAAATGGCATAATTAATACTAGAAAAATTAGAGAGAATAATAATTAGAAATAAAAAAGGAAATAATAGTTTATAATGCTAATTTCTTATTGTTCGCGCATGCTCGAACTTTCGTATTTTTGTATTTCGATTTTTAGGGAAGGAGGAAAAAGGAAAAACTAAAGAAAAGTGGGGGAAAAAAAAAAGGAGAGAAAAAGAAAAATCATATCCTTTACAAGATGCGGCGTGTTAAAAATATATATCACTAATTAGAGTAATGCTGAAAATATTCATAAAATTAAGTATGTTTTAAATTATATCAAATATTTTATTTAGAATGAAAATTTAGTTCCAGAGTACTCAACATATGAAAATTTTTTATTCATTAGAACAGCGCTGCAGATATTTATGTTATCAACATATAGTTGTAAATTAAACATATATTGAACTATATTCATTAAATAAACTATTTAAAGATAAAATGAAAGTTTAAATTTTTAAGATGTGCGTTCATTACTTTTAAATCGCTGAGTTGTTAAACTATTTTAATTTGAAAGGTAAATTAAATATCACATCGAACGGAAATATTTTGAAAATTATCTATTAAACAGGCTACGAAAAAAATAAAGTCTTTTCGTAAAATCACAATAATGGCAAAATTGCGTTGATGCTAAATGCTCGATAGCGTAACGTAACGGTTGAAAATTTTGGGGAAACATTCGCAAAAGAGTTTTCTGATGCAAAAACTTTCGAAAAGTCAGAAAGTTTTTTGTTAAGATTCTTGACATGCAGAATGATATCAAGAATATGCAGAATGCTACGAAAATATGAAAGACATAGAGTAATAATTTAAATGTTGAAAAATATTTTGTAACGAAATATTAAAACATCTATTTCAACTAGTGTAAGCATACGGCATAGGTTCGAAAATTCTAAGGTATTATACATCTTTCGTCTGAAACAGTAAGTCTAAAATTTTATAATTTATCCCATCGTTCAAAATTTGTTTAAATTAAAAATATTTTCATTAAATAATTGAAATACTAATTTTAACTCATATTAAGTACTGTCCTTTGAGAAACACTATGTTTACTAAAAACTATGCTACATTTGAAAGCTTTAAATTTTCTTACGTCAAGAAACAATTACACATTCATTAAAATATTTAAAAACTAACGAGAAAATCTAAAAATGAATTTTTTACCTGTGGCGGCGAGCCCTTCCAGTTGTCCAGTTTTTGAATTTTATTTATTTATTCACTTTCCTTTTTAAATTTTACTTCCTTGACTTGTCCGAGAACGAAGTCCTTAGGGAGTGCTTTCGACACCTGTATTAGTGGGAGCGAGCTCGGATATGATACCGAAGAATCTCTTTTGGCCTCCTTTAAATCCCCGCCTCTTTCGATCGAGACAGCAGGGTTGCAATAATTTTAAGCTTATCGCTTAATTTGGCGACCGCCAATGGTCTAAACCTGCGAGACATGGCAAAACTACCTCTCTTTAGCCAGTTCTCGGACGACGAGTGATAGGTTGGTTTATTATTATTTTTTTACCGCTTTTCAGAGAGTTGAATTGCAGTCCCCCTTTTTTTCTCCCCTTCTTGTTGAATTCGTGAGCATTCGCCTCTCCCTCCCTCTTGCTCAATGGAGCTTGAGTAGGTAATTTTCTGTCTATTTTTTTGCTACCTTAAAAATGTGTTATGACACCCTCTTTTACAAGTAAGTACAAGACTAAAGTTAAAAGGAAAACAACCCGAAATTTATGCAGTTGTTCTCTGCTGTGGTAATCCTTTATGCTTGTTTTCTTATCTTTGTTTTTTTCTTCTTTTCTGCATCTGTTGCTTTTTAATGGTCGCTGGTGTGAAGAATCTTGGAATGTCCAGTTTTCTAAGTAATGACGTTCTGCTGTAGTATTTCTTACTTTTTGATCTTGAGATTTATATAACTGTTATTATATTCATAATTAAGACAAAATAGTTCTGGGGGGGGAATTAATTGCAATGAGCGTTTTTTGGGGGGGAGGGAGGGCGTTGTATTCTTCAGGCGTTTTTTGACGTCTAGGGCACTGACACGTAACCAAAGAATCGTCGAAATTTTATTTTGGTAATAGTAATGTTTACACTTACTTCTACTATGCACTACTTCTAACTAGAAGAAACTGTGAAAATTTTCGATTCCAAATAGAATTAACACCATGGTCATAAAATAAATGTCCTTTGAAAAATGTTCTATTTGTATTTGTGGTTTTAGTTAAGTTCTGGCGAGAAATGCTGTAGTATAGAATAACTTTTCTGTAGAATAGCATTTAGAAAAGTGTTGCGCAACACTAGCCGCGAACACTGAAGCTGCGAAACACTAAAAATGATCACGTCTAAAGTATGTTTTTGTCTGACACAAATAAAGATCAGAAGGTGTTGTTACCAGTTAAAGAGCCTAAGATCTTTAATTTATATTGCAGATGATTAAAAGTGCATTTATCATTAGCGCAGTAAGAAGAATCATTTAAAAGCTCATTTTATTTGTCTTTTTAATAAGATTTCGTAACAGGTATTAGTTTATGCTGTCAGTGTAATAAATAACACATATTTCTAATATCTTAACATATGCTAATTGAATAATATCTATCTGTAGCTCTTTATACAGTATCGTCTGCATCTAAAATAAAATCGGATGGTTTGTGATGAAATTTAGCAGAAACACACAATAGTATGGTATGGTTTGATTTATTTATGTATTCTGCAGTGTTTAAAATTTTTGTATTTGTTCTGCGATGAGCTAGCACATCGTCTGTGGGATTCGTCTGCCAGACTATCTGCGCAGTCGCAAAGCGTTACCATAGTTATCAGTTTTTCCTTTACCGTTGTTATTATTGAAAATAAAAATAAAAATGGCTGTTCTAAACTCTGAAGATTTGAAGTTGTGTTTAAATTGCTTAATCGAACCACATTTTTTATATACGCAGAACTCAGGGGTTCTGTCAGTCAAATCCCGGGGTTCCACAATTAAAAATAAAAATCTGAAGCAGTCACTCTAGTGGACTAGTGTTTATAAATTAAACATTTCTACGGAATTCGAACCCGGGTCCTCTGGTAACGCAGTAGACTTGCCTAATCACTATACCACCTTGGTGGAACAATTTAGAGATATATTTAGTTATCTTTGAAAATTAATCCAATGCTTCCTGTGTGGGTCTCTAACATTCGTATAACGTGAAGTCAGCAGTGACGTACGTGCGAGAGTAGTCCGGTTTTCGATTGTGTTTGATGTGTATACAGAAATGTTTCTCGCTCAGCTATAAACATTTTAAACATTTAATACCTCTCATTCGAGAGAAAGAAATTATGTAAAAAATCTTTCTCAACGTATGTAGCAATAAAACCAAATATAGAAGGAAATTAAATGTAGAATATAAAATGCGACTGTAGATAACATCAACACCTCTAGACTTCGACAGATTGTGTAAAATGATGCATGCACACCCAGTCACTAAACATAATGCAAAGGCAGGTGACTTCTGGAACACAAGTTAATGCTATTAGTTAATTACAGTAATTGTATTTTAAAATTGTTTCATAAAAGATAAAATACTTTTCTTTAATTGTCTTTAAAGTAGATAAATCGTCGATAACATATTTATCTACTTTAAATATTATTTCAAGATATAGTTTTCTAAAGGTGAGTTGAAGTGCTCGAAGAAACCTTTTAGTTCTAAGGGTTCTGAGAGTCGACAAAGCGTCTAAGGGAAATGATGTCTTCGTGTATGCATTTCTAAGGGAAATCGGTTTGTATTCACGATACGCACAGGGAAAACCACAAAAACGCCCATGCAGCCAGCTCGTTCTCCTGGAATCGAAGCAGGGTCGTACTACCAGTGTTCAGCGACTTTACTTTTCGGCCGCTGATGAGCACTAAATGCACTCTTTTGCAAAAAAATGGAAGCACCATGAAGGATGTGGTTGTTTTTGATGAAATTGAATATCTGTATAGCTAATACACAGATAATAAAATGATTAAAAAATCAAGGTCATAGTACCTGTTTACGGCTCACAATCACCCATTGAGTGTTTAAATTAGTAGTTGGTCGAACCAAATCTGGCGGCAATGCATGCTTGAATTCGTCGAGGTACTAATGTCGTCCTGTGACACATTTTGCCAGGCATTCATCAGTTATCGCTGCTCGATTGGGAAAAGGTCTGGTGACCTTGCTGGCCAAGGAAGAGTATCAACCGCACGGAGACAGTCCAGAGATATGCAAGCGGTATGTGACCTCGCATTAACTTGTTGGAAAATGGCCCCAGTATGACGTGCCAAGAAGAGTAATGCAACCGGCCGCAAGATGGTATCAACATATCGTTGAGCTGTTAAAGATATACGGAGGATGACTTGCTGTCATAAGAAATAGTGCCTCACACCATCCCACCAGGGTTTATGGCTCTATACCTTTGTGAAACAAAGGCTGATGGGGACCGCTAGCCCTGTCCTCTCCAGACAGGAACACGGCGGTCATCTGCTTCAAGAGTGAAGCGGGATTCATCGCTGAACACTACACGATGCCAGTCTGATGGCAGCCATGATGATCGGCTGCAGCACTACTCCAGACGACTCCGCCGATGTTGTGGGGTCAAAGGCAAACGTCTTAAAGGCCTCTGTAAGCGTAACTCCGCCTCAGACAAGCGCCGTGAGATGGTGGACGTACCACGGGAGGTATAGACGTGACTGTAGTGCATTGAATAGTCTACAATGATACCATTGGGGCGGTTCGGGCCTGGCGAACAATCATCCTATCTTGCTTCGCATTGGTGCTCCTTGGTCTTCCAGAGCCTTCATTTCGTCGGTAATTTCCTTGTAGCAACCATTGCTGCCAACATCTTTGCACAGCAATGTCTGTACGCTGCAAATGGCGGCCTATTGCTCGGTATGACCACAACTTCACGCAACCCTACAGTGCGACCACGTTCGAAGTCGTTTAGTTGTCTGTAAGGTGTTCGATATCGTCGTAATGGCATCTTTAGTTGCTTCGCTGCGGAATTACAATGGCAGCAACAAAAAAAGAAAAATTTTCTCTGTTGCTGATTTTATATTTTGCGAATTGCGCACTAGAAATGCCCGCTATGATCGCAATTCCTGTTCATTTGCCTTGAAACTTTGATCATTTGCATGTTCGATCAAAATGTTTTTACATACCAAATTTCGTCACGATCGCAAATGCCCTTTTTGGTGCTTCGACTTTTTTGCAAAAGAGTGTATATAAGAAAGACACAGAGAACGCCGAACAGTTGAGTAAAGAACTAAAGCCATGAATGTGTAAAGGCGCAGAAGCAATGGTTACACATTTGCTCTCGTTTAAATAGCGAAGGTTTATCTCATTCTTTTCCAGCGCCATAGGAAGTAGGAAATGCGAATTTTCTGCTATATACGCCATTTTAAACAACGATAATTTTCTTTAAAAGATCATAGCTTTTTTAATTACTTTGGTATTTACCTATTTCTGACTAATCACGTTCAGAAAGTAACTCAGAAATAAAAAATTCAAAAATCGTAGTTCCTTTAAATTAAGCTTGAATTTTATTTAGCTGTAAAGATGTAGCTTTATCACTTTACACTTTGAAGCCTTACTATTATTTATTGAAAAGTAAATTGCCCTCTGATGTATTAGATTAAGTTTCATATCATTAATTTTACAAAATGCAAAGTTCTCCATTTATTAAGTTGCTAGGAAGCAATTGTCATATTCATGAATGAAAGTTTATTTATTTATTTATTTATACAAATGCCAGACATTTGGCCACTAAGCCATTAGTCTTGATCTTACTTCCCAATACTTAAGAACAATAGAATTAAAAGATAACAGTGCTGTGCATTCGTCAATATGCTCCTTATATGTGGCTGTCCAGAGTTACAAAGAGTCCAGAGTTACAAAGACTGAAGAGTCCTTAATTCGAATTTTAAAAAGATGGGCATTCAGATAATCATGCCAAGTCAAAAGACGAAATAACAGCACCGCTACAGGACGAGGAAAATCTAGAATAACTGGCTTTGAACTGGTGAGACACTCCCAGGCCTTTCCCTTAGCTTCATTTAATACGTAGGAAGCAAACCTCTTCTTAAAGTCTAATTTAGGAGTTTTGCAGAATTAAAAGTCATATGGTTATTAGTGGTTTGTAGAATAGTCGTTCCTTTCTTTGCCAGGAAATCGGCTCTTTCATTTCCCTCGATGCCACAATGAGCAGGAATCCACTGCAAGACAGCTGAGTCAGCCAAAGTGTTGAGAATCTTCCTACATTCGTAAATTCGTTCGGAAGTGCAAAATTTATTATTGGAGATAGTCTGCAAAGTGGCT